CGCACGACAGCAACAAACAACTGCTTCATCGTTTCTGCACCTAGGAACTCGAAAGAGCGTCTGATTAGACCAAATCGTTTATTGGCTTTATTAACTTGACTTTCAATATGCTTAGAAAATTTCTACTCATTGTCGATATTAACTCCTAAATCTTTTTTCATTGCCGACTTCGACATCATCACTCTGTCGTTGCAACCGTGTCTTCTCATATTGTAATCTTGCTGTTCATTATTCTTGCCGAGGTGGATAACTTTACATTTGTCAGCTTTAAAACGCAGCTGCCACTTATCAGCCCAGTCAACCAGCCTTTCAAGATCACCTTGTAACTGTACTTTATGCGACGAATTCTTCACTGTATTATAAATTTTGTGTCGTCAGCATACATCGAGCACACAATATATTTGTAATCGCGTTGAAAAAAACTTCATAATGCGTCAGTATTTTGTAAACGAGATAACAAATAGATAAACGTCACGATGCGAGTGAATTTCGTATATCAAGATCATTTCGAAAACAGCGTGTATATGCATGAACATTTATAATTAATAAATTAAAGGTTAATAATATGCATTGCTGGGATAAATTCTATTAAGTTTTTAACAACGACATCAAAAAGCTCAACAAACACGAGGAAAAACAGTAAGCGTGCATCAATTATTATTGTTTTCGTAACAATTATTGTCTCCGCGCATCAATTATTGTCTCCGTGCATCAAAACTCGATGGATATTCATTTTAGGTAGTAAAATTAATGAATAAATAGTTACGGTCTAGGTGAGACTATATTAGAAATTCAAAATAAAATGCAGTCCCAATTGAAATATTTTTACCGCGTGTCATGTAATTAATCGAAATGGTCTATCATAGATGTGTAACACAAAGTATTGCACACTAAGTGCTAACACAAATTGTATTGCTATGCATTTTATCATCAAACATGCATTTTTGACTTCACATATATATAGCGTCATTTCAGTTACAAAAAATTAAAGTCAATTTCGAATTTACATTGTTAAAATAACATAGAATTTTTTTATTTTTACCTAATATAACATAACATTGACGCATAGTTATATTATGTTTGTCGCACAATTATCAGTTAAATATAATAATTAAAAGCATATGAACAATTTTAATATTTTTTAATAATGAATATTCGCATTCTTCATTTTTCGGATTCATTTCCAATTTTGAAATATAATTATTCTATTTCCAAATTTCTTCTCACTCAGCTAGTTAACTTCTTAACCTCGAAGTAATTTTTTACTGTCTTTCCGATTATTTATGCCTTTCCAATTGCATTTTAAAGTGAAATGATATTTTTCATGAAAATATTTACTGTATTAATAAAACTTTTTTGCTAATAATAATAATTTTTACTTTACCCGGTTGACAGTGAAATGTTATATTGCGCTTCGCTTTTCGTATATTGCATGATTAGATGTTACACATCTTTCTGTCACTTCCACAAAAATGCCCATAACAAATGAACTCCCTTTCCTCGGCAGTGCAGATGCCTGGCGACTTTTCAAATGGTGATTTCAACTCAACAATTGTGCATAAAATCTATAGGCTTTAATACTTAACTATGACTCAATATACCGTCTCACAGCTGTTCTTTAAAGTTACTAATGTCACTACCTTACTACGGGTTATATCAACACACAACAGTCGTGACACTATTTTGATCTAAATTTCTTTCTACCGTAAACCAGTGCAAGCTACTAGCTTCATAGTTACACTAAACTATGCAATCATTAATTAATGTGTCCGTGCTCGTTTTTTAATTATTAATGTTAACTATTCGTGAACTATGTAGTTTGTAGTGAACTATGTAGTATGTAGTAACTATTTGACTATGTAGTATCAACAAATAGACTGTTCACTCTCCGAACTTTCACTACTTTACATGCACGTTCAAATTATGTTTTGTGAACATTTTACTCGATTACATTAATAAATATCCATTGTATTATTCAGTACAGCACACGAGTGCATTAACAATTGTTTATTGCATTATTTATCATTGCACTCGAGTGTTGTAAAATTGAGGCAAATCGTAATTGCTTTTCCATTTCATATTGGTGCTTTTAAAATTATTGTTCCTTTTATTGTACATTTCGCATGACTTCAGTTACAAATATTCAATCAAGCTATAAATTAATGCAAGAATTTTGAGAAGTGGACGAATTTTTCTCTTGAAAATTAATTTTTTACGGCAGAGAAGGACGGAAGAGTTACAGGCGACGTGAAACTAAATATGCATATATGAAGTGCATTATTTTTTGTGGAAAATTAATATTTTCGAACTGTAAAACAATTGGTCAAGAGAGTTACGATAATTAACGGTGAAACTTGTTCAAGTTTATAGATGAATTTATGTTTTCAGTGATTGTTTTGTAAGTTTTCATTCGAATAAATTTTGATGAAATTTTTATCATTTTTGCCATGAGATATCTACTAAATAATCTCGATATTTATAAGTCAAATACGCACTTCTGAGGTACGAATATGAGAAGTCATTTGGTAGCCATCAAACACGTGTAGAATATTCTGATTAATACGTGCATTATACTAAAAATTAATTTTTCTTCAACATAACGGAAGCTAAATTACAGGAGTAAATTCTCCCGGCATTATGTTGAGAATAATTCGCATGGTCGTTAGTGTGAAAATTTCTCACTTCCATTAAAACATCAAACTTCTATTGCCTGGATTTTGAATGAAAATATTACGAATACGCACGACTATGTTCATAGATGAAATTAAATGATATACTATTAATTATCATATGCGGCTTCTTTTTCTGCTCCTGTCGGATCCTGCCCAGTTGCATGGGAAGCTAAAATAAATATTTTAGCTACTAATAGGGTATAGTGAAAGGTTTAATATAGAGCAGGACAGTCAGCGATGGTTTTAAGAAAGATGTTGAAATAAAATTCAATCAATATTGAAAATCTTATCAGAATTATCGGTGGTCAACCGTCGGCCGTTCAGTGGCCACCGATATGCCTGCTAAAATTTAAACTTGTGAGATTTTATGAATAAATCTATGAATGTTGATGCGATTCAAGTGCGTCTGCCGCAGTTTCCAATGTAATTGTTAAAAAATGCTATTAAGAAACAATTAAAATTTCTGAAATTAAAGAAACAAAATAAAATCAATAAATGAAATATTTAAATGAATAAATTTCAGCAAATTTCAGTAAATGAGAAAAAGATTCTAGAAAGCATTGTTGGACAAAATTCTTTAGCATGTCTACTATAAGGAAGCTATACTACCATCATGATGTTTACTAGCATTAAATAGTTGGCAAGTAGAGCGGAGTGATGACGATATATGAAATATGAATTAATGCTCAACCGTTAAGGCAGAATTTTTGAAGTGATCCCAAAAGAAAAAGTGGAAAATAAAAAAGATCATGTACAAGTTTTGATTGAAGTGAAAGTTAGTTAGCTAAGTGTATATGTTAGCATCAAGATTATTAAGAAGAAAATAATTTAGATCATGTATAAATTGTTGATTAGGAGGTGATAATATAATTTAAGTTCATTATGATAATGGAAATCCAGGATGTTAAATAGTTTGAAACCTGAGGATCATTAAACATGTGGATTCTGATGTAAAGTAATGCAATTAAACCAAAAAAATTGTGATGTGTTTTTTTCTACTAAAGATATTCTGAAACCATTATAGATCAGGATTATTATTCGTGTAGATTTAAGTGTAGAACAATATTATGAAACTATAAAATGTAAGGATAAGTAGACTTGTGGAATGAAATGGAAAAAAACTTATGTGAAGGAAAATATGTTTGAGGGTAGATCGTCAGTATAGTAAGTAGATATCTAAAGAGATCACTAAAATCAGTAGATCAGAAAGTACAAAGATCAGCTGATCAGAGATCACTGTAAGGTAGTTGGCAGTCACAGATCAGAAAGAAGCTTGCAGTAGATCCGTAAGCTCTGACTGTGACGATAAGGGATCTGATTATCATTATTAAAAAAGATCGTGGTTTGTGTAAAAGCGCCCGTTCATTCATGGAAGATCTTTTGCTGTATCAAATCTATATAATTTTCACAGAAAATTAATGTGCTGTGTGGAACCTAAATATTTTTCATTGAAAGAGAAATTGTGCTGTGTGAATTGCAGTTTTTTCAGTGCTAGCAGATAGCATGTAGAAGCAATAGAAAAGAAAGAAAAAATTTACTTAGTAAGTAAATTTTCTGCAAAATTATAAATTATTAAACCAAGGAAAATAAAAAGTAAAAATGAAATAATGCATATATATAATTGATTCATTAATACACAGTGACAAGAACAATAATATAAAATAATAACTTATTGAGAAATTGAAAATATCAGCTGATGAAAGTAACGGCTGTAGATATTATTCGGTGCATGAATGAAATTTTAGAATTCTTAGTGTAACTGAGGAAAATTTTTCAGGAAATCTGAATAAATTGAGATTAGAAATTCATGACAAAATAAATCTAAATTTTTCTATCCGATTACTTTCCAAAAATGACGAATGCATCACACATATTACCCGACAATCGTCTAATGTGAAAGTATGATAAACTTTGAACTTCATCAAAAAGTAAATTGAAACATCTATTTAAAAGAAGGTAAATTGTATTGAAACTAATAAACAAAACAACTTGAAATGAATAAAAAAGAAAACCTGAAGCGTACTACGTATTTTCCGGAGTAAAGTATACGTAATGTCAGAAGAAAGCAGACTACCAAGCTGGACTGAACACCTTGACTACATACGCTTCTTGCTTGACTACGGCTCTCAATAATCTATAAAGATTTTACTGCATGTTATGTGTCTTATTTTCATACACAATATAATTTATGCCTCTTTCCACATAATATAACCTGGTTCTTTAAGAGCAGTTTAACCAATATTTTATCAAGGTTGTTCATGTTGATGAACGTGAGGGCTGGTTAATAATTTTTTTCCAAGGTCATAGTCTCTAAATATTGTTGAAAATATTACATGAAAAGACAAATAGCTTTCAAAAATGCCAAAAATTGCAATATTTGATATTCCCTGGTCATACCGACCAGGCAATATCAAATATTACAATTTTCTCCGAATCAAAAATGTTAATTAGAATAATCCAGTAAACAAGGCAAATAATATCTACACAGAATTTGTGTAGCGCTACATGCTATTTTTTAAATGGGAATAAAGTTTTGATAAAATCTTCCATGCGATGACACATATACCTTGAATTAGGTACAATACTCAATATGTATGCCAAAAGAAATAAACAGAAAAAAACTATGACCATCAACAGGTAGAGATGGAAGAAAATCTTCTAAAACTTATTGCAAACTTATTCCAGTTGCCAACTAAGAGGAAGAGGGATGTCGAGAAACGACATCCCTCCTCCGACATCCCTCGATTCCACAGAGTTTTTTTCGTATGTATTCCAACTATCTAACCAGAATCGATAATTTTTTCTATATCAATACATTTTCAAAAATAAAACGCGTTCGAAAAATGTCGAGGCTAGATCATTGTGTATAAATGATATCCGCAGTTGTGTTTCAACTTATGAGCAAAAGTAAGTGATTTGCGATAGAATTTTACCAGTAATTAGCAAATAGTACACGCGAAAACATAAAAAAAAACTCGGTGAAAACTTAGTTCAGGAAAGATCGATTAGGAATTGGGATAGGAGAAGAAAGCATTCGTTCGATTGAGAAAAAGTCATTTGTGCTTTGGAAATGGGGATAGATTTTTTTAACGATTATTTAACTGTATTCGCAATATCTGTATTCGGGAAATTGAAGCGATGGTTGGAGGAAATTTTGTTGGGAAAATTGATCGGGATATTTTTACCGGACTAGAGCAAAAAATTTTGTCTATGTTATTGACGGTATGAATTGAGTAGCGTCATCGACAAATGAAACTGGAAACTTACCATTAACATTTAAATCAAACGTTCCTTGATTTAACGAGGTGTCTGTTTAATATGTTTTCACGAGGTGTTATCTCTGGTCTTAAAGTATATAATCTCTTAACCTCTGAGCTATAATCATTATTTCTTTCTTGAGTAGTCATGTGCACGCTCTAATCAAACATCAATATTCTTAATAAATCTAGTAAACTTTGATATCTTCCAAGAATACGACTTGAGTAGAAGTCACTTAAACTTCTAATAAATAGTGACTTAACAAATTCCTTTTGAAATTCATTTGAATTTCTCAGACTTGTAAAAATCAAAACACGTAGGCATCTAGGTGAAGCAGTTTCAAGGGATAAAGTGCTGCAATATTAGGGCAAAATTATTAAAATAATAAGGACTGAAGGCTTGATTATGAACTTCAATGGGAAACTGCAACGTAATTTGAGCATAACATGACAACCAATGTTGACTGTAAAGCACTGATTTCAAGAATAATATGTTTCTTAATTTCAGAACAAAAAGTTTCTTGCAATGAACAAGATCCGCGTTCTGTTTAGACTATAAAAGGCTCCGCTGTTTGAACCAAAAATGTAGTACCATTTCCCTAATTAAGAACCCAAATTTCAGAAAATTTTAGCAGCGTTTTTAATGTTTCACATGACAATTATACGTGAAAATTACTACTGCTGGACGGTGGATGCACCGAAGAGGATACTATCGTCAGTTACCCTTCTAAGTGAACCCGAATTTCAGGAAATTTCAACAGCGTTTTTAATGTTTCACATGACAATCGCGAGTGAAAATTGCTACTGCTGAACAGTGGATGCGCCGGAGAATATACTATCGTAGTTACCCTTCTAAGTGACCCAAAATTTCAGAAAATTTCAGCAGCGTTTTTAATGTTTCACATGACAATCGCGCGTGAAAATTGCTACTGCTGAACAGTGGATGCGCCGGAGAATATACTATCGTAGTTACCCTTCTAAGTGACCCAAAATTTCAGAAAATTTCAGTAGCGTTTCTAATGTTTCACATGACAATCGCACGTGAAAATATCTACTGCTGAACAGTGGATGCGCCGGAGCCGGACAGGATGCTATCGTAGTTACCCTTCTCAGTAAAGAGCTGCTTGTAGTGAGAGTTGCAGTAGAGCTTGCCACCACCCATCGTAAACGTCACCATGCTGCCCACACAATTAACATGGTTCTTAACTATACAATTAAAAACTTATGTCTATGATATTATTTAATTATTATTATTCAATCTTTATCAATTATCAATTTAATTAAAAATTATCAATTAATTAATAATTAATTTTCATTACTGATTAATTAAATTATTAAATATTCTACATTAATTATTAATGTATTTAATAATTCTCTTTCTTATTAATTATTTTATGATAAAACAGTATAACAGTTTTTTGCGAATATGATATGGAGTTTTTCCACGAATCATTGGGGTGTCAATTCCCAATGGTGATTGGTCAATTCCCAATCATTGGGTGATTCCACGAATCAATCATCATTTTTCTTCAAAAAATAAATAATTATTTCAGGAAATAGGGTGCACATTTGGCTCAGCGGGTAAGGAACCTAGCTAATACCTAGCAGTGTGTAACACCAAGCTAACACCTAGCAGGAATAAATACGATTAATGGCATCAGAAGATTATGAGGTGGTGGCAGAAGTTTATGAGCCATGGGCGCCGACATTCAGAACTCTACATAATACATAAATATTTATGAATGAAAAGGGAACTGTGGAAACATTCTACTAATTGAACAAGTAATCACTTTTAAATGCAATATTATCGTAATTTTATCAATATTATTATTACGAGATTGATTGGAAGTAGGGCGAAATGAGCGGATAGAGCTATTTCTAAGGGGTTTTTTACACTACCTGAGAGGGCTGTTACACTACCTGAGAGGGCTGTTATACTACCTGAGAGGGCTGTTACAGTACCTGAGAGGGCTGTTACACTACCTGAGAGGGCTGTTACACTACCTGAGAGGGCTGTTACAGTACCTGAGAGGGCTGTTACACTACCTGAGCGGGCTGTTACACTACCTGAGCGGGCTGTTACACTACCTGAGTGGGCTGTTACACTACCTGAGCGGGCTGTTACACTACCTGAGCGGGCTGTTACACTACCTGAGTGGGCTATTACACTATCTGAGAGGGCTGTTACACTACCTGAGTGGGCTGTTACACTACCTGAGTGGGCTGTTACACTACTACCTGAGTGGGCTGTTACACTACCTGAGCGGACTGTTACACTACCTGAGCGGGCTGTTACACTTGCAGCACTTGAAGCAGGTCTTGTGGATAATCTTGCCCTGGACCTCGAACTTCTCCATCGCGTACACCGTCTTGCTGCATGCTGGGCACTGGTCTCCTCCGCCGCCCTGTGCAATTAATAAAATTTATCTCTCAAAATTAATTTTTACAATAATTAATTTAAAAATTTAAGTGTTAAATTTAATCAATTTTCAAATTAGTTATATTTAACACTATCTTCTAATAATAACTTCATTTGCTGTGGATGTCAGCCTTCATTTCTCTTGGAGGAGTTGAGAAATTTCGAAAAAAGCAAGTGAGGCACAGATTAATCAAGTTTTCCAAAAAAGATTTTTCGGGCAGCTTTGCTTTTCAGAAAATAGAAATATAAATTCTACTTCCGATGATTGAGCGATTGAAACTAGACTAGAACTAGAATGATTGAGTGATTGAAATTGAAATAAGCGGATCGTGTTCATAAATGATTTCAACATTTAAGAATATTATTGATCATTGGTTAGAGTTACTTGTATTATTATATATTATAAGCCACGCCAATGATTCTAAAGTGCAATTATTTTAATTATTTCCGGTAGATCTGTATTATTTTAAAATTAAGGCGCTGAAGTGGTTTCTGCGAGTCTTGAAAATAGTAGATTACTTAGTTATGCTGACATGAATAAATGTTCCACCCATACCCATTTTAGTGCATATTATTCACTTCTTGAACATATAGTTAGAAATCAGTACAGCTATAGGTAATATTATGTTAATTATTTATCAGAGCTATACAATTATAATACTTAACATTCCTATACTTTTCATAATATTTCAGCAAATAGCACATCGGAAAATAAAATGCTATTTAGAAAACAATGCTAATTTAGTAGCGTGAATAGTCACTAGTATTAGAGAATAAGTAGTAGAAATACATAAGAGAATCAGTAGAAAAGAAAAGTTGAAAAGTGGAAAGCAAGGCAACAAATGAAAAATATATAAAATGAAACGGAAACCAAGAGAAGTTTGAAAATATATAAGGTAAAATAGGGTAGACATGGATAACTGTTCGCCAAAAATTGAGGTTCAATTAAACATCTGGTTTCAGTCTACATTTTTAGATGAAATTTGCTATTAGGCACAATTTCTTCTGAATTCAATTTTTTTTGAGGTTGGGGAATTCAACAAAAATTCAGTTTAAAGGTAACGTAGGGTAGAAAAAATTATAGGGTAGAAAAAAATAAATACCGAGCTTACAAATTTTTCTAAAAATGCTGAAGGTTCGACTTACAAAATCTCATTTAAAAAAATACTGGGGCCTTGTCTCAAAATATCGGATACAAAAAATACTGGGGGATTATCTTAAAAAATTAGATTTAAAAAATGTAGGGTAAAGGGAGGGATTTAATCATATTAATTACATCGATTGAAAAGCAAGACGGTAAAAAATTGCGTCTTACCTTAAACCTGCCAGACATGAATTTTATTTGGAGCGATTGTTTGGAGCAGGGAAATTTTCTTTTCGATTCACTTAGTGAAAATTCACTGAATATAGAAAATATAAGAAGAAAACAGTGGTTTCAGTCTCTGTATAACCACGAGAATAATTTGAAAAGTTCATAAAGAAATCAGGAAGAAGAAAGAATAACACAGAGTTAGAGGAAGAAAAAATTTGACAAAAATTAATTCATAATTCAGAAGACAAGACCACGTAGAAAATTTTTCGGCGCAAAAACACCATAGAAAGAAAACATCAATAGAAAGAAAAATTATATGCACAAAAATCGCTGTAAAAGGAAAATTAAGGGACAGAAATTTGAGAAAAAAGAAGGAAGAAAACTATAAAAGATTTAACAATAATAACTAATTGAGAAGAAGACAACATAAATTAGAAAATAAAAATAAGAACAAGAATTGTAATCGAACCTAAAAGATATAAAGCTATGGATCGATCCAGCTCAGTTTTCTGACAGAGAATTTCCACTGCACATTAAATCCAAAAAAAAAAGTAAATAACTTGAGCAGATGCAGTGAGAAAATCAAATAAATTCGAATGTAACTGCTTAATAATATGACACGCAAGAATAGGACGAAAGAAATATTAGATTAAAAAACACAAAAAAATCAACCTGAATTGTTACCCATCGACGGGATAGTGAAACTTCAAATTTTTCAGTTCATAAATTACAAATTTTACAGTAATTTTTGTACTAACCAATTGATTTAGAGGATATGAAGAGAAATCCATTCCTCATAGTGTTTTGTCGGATTCTACAATGCAAAAATAAGATAAAATTTTATTTTTTTGAGGCTCGGGTTCTGGGGGCTCGCCATTTCCGAAATTCATTATAAAAAATGAAAATAACTTTTTCATTATTTTTTCTCAATTGAAAATAAATCAAAAGTAAATCATCTGACCGATACAAACAACCCCTCGCAAGAGAAATCTTGCGCCCTGCAGCATAAATATTTTATATTAAAAATAGCATATCCCTTCTGATATCATTTAGAAAGAATGCAATCGCCACATTAATAAACACACAAAAAAATAAATTACTTGCTTTTACTGTCTACAGAGTTTATCAACGCATAAATGTTCAAGTCGTCAGTTTCCTTTTATTGTAATAAATTTCGTTGTTCTGTTTTCCGACATATAACGAACATAGATGAATAATCCATTGATATAAAATGATTAATGTTTTCACTGTCATAATTATTCGAATAGACGACATGCAATTGCACAATTCTGGACTTGAAAATAATAAATGATTATGGAATAATCAATTCCATAATTGGTTATGTAATATAATTCCCTATAAACATAACAAATTATTTTATAGGGAATTGATTCCGAAAAAGTTTACAAAAGTAATCGACATTAAAACAATTTATTATTTTACATTAAATGCTGCGAGTAATAAAAGGCATAGATTAGCAATTCTTTATTTCTTGTAGAAAATAACAAGATCATGGCCGAATTTTATTACGTGAAGTCAACTTATAAACGCTAGGCTATACAAAATCAACTCAATCCTTAGGACATTACTTTACCTAATCATTAAAGTTTACAAAATTAATATATAAGAGGGCAAAGGAACGAGTTTTGATAAGGAAATTTAAATTTATGAACCGCAAGGAAAAAATATGGGCAATTGAAAAAGATGCGTCAGAATTGAGGAGAATAATTGCGGTAACACAAATAAAACTGATAAAAGATAACTGTTTTACATAATAAAGCTGATGGACATGACGTAAATAAAGAAACGATTCGTTCGGGAGACAGAATAAGCGAAAGAAACGATTTGAATTCGGCAAAAAACATTCAATAAAGTTCAAGCAAAATAGCTGCTTAGATCCAGCTTTAGCAATGCATGATATGTGCAAATTTAAAACTAAAATTAAATATAGAAGGGCGCATAATCAGTTTAGAATGCAAAATAAAAACCAACGAATAACATCTCAAGTAAAATCCTCTCTGGAGTGACACAGCAAAGGAGAAACTGAAAAAGAATTTCGGTGACAAAGAAACCAAAAAAACTTTAGGGTGCATTTTAAACATGCAAACAAACACTGGCACGATAAATGGGCCTTTGTACACACCTTAAATCTACGATTTAATAATTATAAAATTGACCGTCTCCAAGATGGATTGGAACTTAATATAAACGAATGAGTTTCAAGAATTTTAAAGCATTTGAATTTAATTCTGAATAATTAACCCCAAGCTAAGGGATTGAAATTTATCTAACATGAGAGCATTGAAAAAATCTTGTTGAAAATCTTGTATTAAAATTTATCGAAATTTTTAACGGATTTATTAATTGACGGTCATTATTCACATGCTAGAAACGATGGATACGCTAAAATTATTCATGAAGTAGCTCATGAAATGTGTCGTCTTGGAACACTAAAAAATCATTCGTAATTCACAAGAGGACAGATTATGCTTTATCCATAATACGCTTATTTTCAACATTTCAAAAAATGCTCCGTCAATCAAATTTTCAAAACATACACCAGCACAAACAGATTTGTTTAAAAGGTGCAACATTTGCTTCTTCAAATTTTTAACGGATTAGTGTTGAATTCATCTTTACACTGAACTTTACATTGAAACCAATCGTGCAAAAAAAATTATGTATGCAGATAAAAAGTACTTATTCGAAAAAAAATCTGCAATGAAAAATATTGATTTTTAGGCACAGATTCAAAACCAAATTAAACGCAGAATCTACACGCAAGATTATATTACCTCGAATTGACAATTAACAAGCCTATTCACTTATAGTGCAAATCACTAGTCCAATCCTTCTGTCCTTAATTTAGATCCAATTACCTTCAAAACCAGTCACGTCTAGATTTAATCGCGTATAAATGAAATCGTGTTCATGCTTTATTTCAACAAATTTTTGAAAAAACAAAATTCAACAAACAAAATTCAAAGTTGATAATGTGCCCGATTTAATGGGGAATCTCATTAAAGGTTCAGTAAATTTCATAGCATTAAAGTTCAAAATTTAAATGCAAACATGTATATCTAGATGTTTATCTCATTCACCATTAGTTACGATGAATGGATGAATTTCATTTTTAAACCATAATATCCACATGCATAAATGGACCTCCTTAAATCGTCAGTTTTTCCATTTCTAATTAAACTTTCAACCCAGCCTCTATTGACTTGCTATAAATTTCTACAGCGAATAGCTTCATCAATTTTCATTGGTTGAATTCTGTTGAATCCTGAGCTGGCGTAAGAACTGCGGAGCGTAGTTTTCTGTTCACTTCTACGACGTTCGGTGCGGTTTTCGTCTTCAAATCCATCCCGCGTAGGAATAATGCGTAGCAAATGTTGTGTGGAAAATGTTGAGTGGACAATGTTGTGTGAAAAATGTCGTGTAGAAAATGTTGTGTTGTAAATGTTGTGTGGAAAATATTGTGTGGAAAATGTTGTGTGCAAGAAGCTAAGCGGAAAATGTTGTGTATAACCGTTGAGTAGAAATTAGGTTGTAAAGAATGTTGCGTATGTAGGAAAGGCTGCATAGAAAATGTTGTGAGGATATTTTTGTGTGTAAATATTTGACAAATATTTTCGAAACATTTAATTTTTGAGTAATGAATATAAAGTGGAAAATATTAGGTACCCTGATAATGTTGGGTAACAAATGTTGAGGGGAAAATTGGTAACAAATGTTGCGAGGAAAATGTTGCAAGGAAAATATTGGGTAACAAATGTTGCGAGAAAGATATTGGGTAAAAAATGTTGCATAGAAAATGTAGCGTGGAAAATGTTGTGTAGAAAATGTTGAGTAGGAAATGTCAAGTAGGAAGGAAAGTTTAAGTAGAAAATGTTGCATTTTCATTGCGAACAACCAGCCAAGTCCAGGGAAAATCGTCCAGTCATCCTCACTGAAAAAAATATATCATTAGACATTCTATCATTCAGCAACAATAAAATTTAATTTCAGTAAACAGCAGATAAATTTATCATCCAAGTGTTTTAAAATCATTTCTTCACTAACCAATGCTCTTGCAATTAAAAAACTACTACATATTTTTCATGCAACATGCTGCATTTATAGATAATATATTTGATCGGGAATTTCAAAATTTAGTTAATTCTATTCGACTTTTTCTATCAATAGCAGATTATTAAATATCCATCCAAGAATAATTTCAGGAAAAAATATCTCAATTATTATCTAATTGTAACAGCATCCAGAATTGTCGAACTTCATTAAAATAAAGCTAAATATTATCTACAAACTGCATTAATAAGTGAAAGGTTAGACATACCTGTTAGGCAGTTAGATTCCAGCATCACGGTTAGAAGGTTGCTTGTTAGGTGCACGTCACAAGGTTAATTATTTTTTAATTGTAAACACACACAATAACACCGAAATGGTTGATTGTTTCCATTATGGTTACTCGAATGATTAATTGAACACACGACAGTTGATTGCTTCAAGAGTTACGTCTACTGATTAATTGAACATACGAAGCTCGTTTACACGACATTCATTTCTAATGGTTTATTAAACACTCGACAGCTTATTGTTTCCATGACAGTCACGACTAATGGTTAATTGAACACTCGACAGTTGATTGTTTCCATGACAGTCACGACTAATGGTTAATTGAACACTCGAATTGTTTCCATGACAGTCACGACTAATGGTTAATTGAACACTAGACAGTTGATTGTTTCCATGACAGTCACGACAAATGGTTAATTGAACACTAGACAGTTGATTGTTTCCATGACAGTCACGACTAATGGTTAATTGAACACTCGGCAGTTGATTGTTTCCATGACAGTCCCGACTAATGATTAATTGGACACTAGACAGTTTATTGTTTTCCATGACAGTCACTTTTTAGTTGAACAGAACACTCGACAGGAGATTGTTTCCATGACAGTCACGACTAATGGTTAATTGAACAATCGACAGTGTGTTTCCATGATAATCATATTTTATGATTAATTGAACACTCAACAGGTGATAGTTTATATGAGTCAAATTTCATAATTGATTCAACACACGTCAATTGATTGCTGCACGAGTAACGTATAATTTATAATTGAATTCTCAATAGTTGATTTTTTCCATGGCTTTTACGGTATTAAGTTCCGCGAACTGCTCGTGCCAGGTTAATTGAACACACGATTATTGTTTTGATTCTAGGAGAGTCTCGTTTAAATCCTAATTAAATATTAGACTGGTAATTAATTCCACAAGAGCCTCAACTCTGTGTTAATTAGATATTTCATCCATGAGGACATGAGGGTCTCGACTCGCTGTTAATTGAAAATATAGCACACGTCTAACGAATAAAAATTTCGAAGTATGAAGAAGAAGGATTGAAATTTATGATGAAATGATTTTAATAACGAATATTGAGGAGGAACAACATGAAATTTTAATAAATTGGAACAATATTTCGTGCGGAGAAGAAATTTTCCAAGCCGACTGTTGAAAATACATCTATATTTGACTAAATTTCTATATCAAGCCCGCAATTCAATAATATTTTATTATAACTTGAATAAAAAGGCCGATAATCAATTCGTGTACATATAGTTCAAGGTAATTGATTGAATGTGGCCAGTAAAAAATTATATGTATGAAGATAATCTGTTTTATGAATAAAGAATGTTAGTAATCAACTTCGTCAAATGGTGCAAATATAAATAAAAAGATCCTCGTTATAATATACGTTATTCATAACGCAGACATTCTCATAAAATTAATGTTAATGTTGGGAGACATTCAGTGTTTGACAATGTTATTGGTGGCAAAGTCGTAGTCAAGAGGTAAAATTAAATGTTATGGTTACTACGGGACCAGCCGACGAAAACTTCTATCAATTAATAATAATTTCAGTACCAATGAATGAACGGTAAATTAACTTACACATTAAATTTCTTGCCAATCAATACAACATAAAAATTCTGAAAACGCGACTAAAGGAGTACTACTCTCATCAGAAGCCAAAAAGCAACTGAAATTGAATTAATGCTGATGATCTCGTAATCAAAGCCGTTACAACGACATTTGCCTGGAGGTATAAAACAGCGTTGAAATAACGTTGAGACAACGTTGAAATAATGTTGAAATAACGTTGAAATAACGTTGAATTAGAGTTGAAATAACGTTGAAATGACGTTAAAATAATGTTAATATAACGTTGACATAACGTTGACATAACGTTGACATAACGTTGACATAACGTTGACATAACGTTGATATGACGTTGATATGACGTTGATATGACGTTGATATGACGTTGATATAACGTTGATATAACGTTGATATAACGTTGATATAACGTTGATATAACGTTGATATAACGTTGATATAACGTTGATATAACGTTGATATAACGTTGAAATAACGTTGAAATAACGTTGACATAACGTTGAAATAACGTTGACTAAACGACGTATCAACGGAATCAACTTATAACGTTCTCTTTCAACGCCATTCACCAGGAAAGAAATAAAGCCAAATTTGAAAAAAAAAAAATAAATAAAAACTCACCACAAATCTGTTGACTTTGGCCCGTTCCCTGACTTGTGGCTTGGCCGCTTCTTGCGCCTTCTCCTCGAACATCGCCTTAAGGTTGCGCGCCGTGTCTAGAGAAGGCATCGCTTCTTCATCCTCGACGCCGTTGCTTTTATTGATGTCGTTGTGACGGTCAACTTCTGCCTCCCACTTCTCGAACTTAGCGCGCAACTCGGCAGCTTTGCGGGCACTCTGTGTCAATGTGAACATTTAGAGTAATGTTCAGATAATAAATTATATAAAACTATTAATTAGTTAATCAAACCATAATTGTTCAGTTAGCATGTGTTTTTTTGCTCGGCAGCCTTAACGGGCACTCTGCGTTAATGGAAACATATGAAGTAATGTTTAGATAATCAATTATGTATAACTATTAATTAATTAATCAAACAATAATTGTTCAGTTAAGTTAACGTTGATTAACATGGAAGTTTGGTTGGCAGCCTTACGGGCACTCTGCGTCAATGCAAACATTTGAAGTAATGTTCAGATATTCAATTAATACAACTATTAATTAGTTAATCAGGCAATAATTGTTAAATTATCATTTATTAATATGTAAGTTTAGTCGACAGCCTCACAGGCACTCTGCGTTGTACGTTAATATATAATTACATGAATATTTAATTCAATATATGACTCGCATTCCACGAGCATTTTGTATGTAACTTTGGGGGTTGTGCGATGGTTTTAATGGTTTAGTTAAAATAACGGTCGTGTCTGCCATTTTTATATATTATGTGTGATACGAAAAAATATGATTATTATTTAATTAGTTGATTAATGAAACGTTTAAATACGTATAAATCTTGCAAGAAATTTATAATGATCTGAAACGACATGTTCTGCAAATTGGCTAAAGTTACATAAACTGTTTTAATAGCATATATGTGCAATATTAGGGTTCAAATAACATGTACATTAACATTAGACATTTCAAGAAGGTTGGAAGAAAACATTCTGTGGAATGAATGGATCGCCTGAAATTGATACATGCAATTTAATTTATTATTGTAATTAATTAGTCTATTTCGTGACGCAACCAAAATTTTAGTTCCAAAATAGTTCAGGGCAATGCCAACATTTCTAAAAAAAATACTTAATGATGCGAAAGAAAGACAATCATTGGAGGAAAACAGCATTAGCTTCAGAAAAATTGCATGAAAAATTGCGAAAAGGCAAAAAAACATTGCATGGGAGAAGATGAAAAGAAGACGAATAGAGAAAAGAGAGAAAAATTTTATAAAAGACTGGATCTATATTTTACTAATGACAGCAACATCATAAGAAACAGAACGAGCAGGTAAATCAAGCAGGTAAACGAGATAAAAGTTCTAGGCCAGATACAGTCAACCACAGTGGCAAATTCATAAGCTGTTAGAAAAAGGCAACTACAGTTGCCACTTTTTTCTACGTTCATACAAAAGGATCAAGTTTTCCCGACTGCTACATTCCACAGAAGCGCGGGAAACTGACAGGACACACAGGACACACAACATCCTATGCATCCTTGCTACCTTTCTCAGTCTGTATAGAGCACTAAAATAATACAAATTAACTTAGGAAATGATGAGCAAGAATGGAGGTACTGATACAAAAAATTTCAAGGAATAATGAAGAAAGATTTATAACAACGAAAACAATGAAAAGCTAAAATAATTAAAACGTATCGGATAAACGACTAGAAGTTAGGTTACAATATGAAAATAAAATAATGAAATATAAGAATTTTCAAATATTTTTCTGTTCTAAAACAGTTATTACAAAAGTATGATCACACAAGGCGACCCAGAATATTTCAAGCGGAGAAACGAAGCTTACTTCTCTGAATCATCACTACGTCAAATTCAAACATACGTTTCCTAATGACAAATTTTATTTGAAACACTTGAACAAATCAATTTAATTCACTGTTTTACATATAAATTCTCCCCGTACTATCACCAGGCTCGATGAATGAAATCAGGAGCACGATTATTCAATCATTTATACACACCATTGAATTGAAAAGACTAGATGAGAAGAGCTCTAACCGCACTGTGCCGAGATTCAGGGGAGACTGTCTCGCAAGGTTGTGTACGTAAATACATACGCTTGTTTTCATGTACATTTTCATGCATGTGCATTTGTGTGTGTGCGTTTATATGCTCATGTGTTTGTGTTTGCCTAACATAAGAATAGCTTTGGTTCGTTCATGAGCATGAAATGTCAAGATAATGTTATTGAAATCAGGAAATTGTTCTACCTTAACCTTATGAAGCCAAAAGATAGCAGAAAAATCATTCCCGAAAATTTTGGGTACTAAAAAATACAGAAAAAATAACCAAGTGTTCACAGCTACACAAGATCTTAGAGACTGAGGAATACAAGTATACAGACACACGTGTTCTCGTCTCAGCTCTGATTACTCTGTATGAACACAGCTTCAGCTAAATGCTCGCGTCACACATGTGCAACACACACATGAGAGCGAAACACATGTACAATACACACAAGTACAAAACGCACATGTACAACACACACATGTACAAATCACACATATACAACACACACATGTACAAAACACACGCGTATATGAGAAGCTGAAGTGTGAAAGTATATACATTCCTAGAGTGTTAAATTTCACACATCAAATGTTAAGAAAAACATGCTGTTAAAAATCTGAAATCTGGAGCAATTGAAAATTTTAGCACCTTAAAAAAATTACTATTTTCAGCGAGCAATTTGACCAGGAATAGAAAATAACGGCAATGATCCAGTTATACTGTAAACTAATTGAAACATGAAAATTTGTTCTCTTCCGAAATTAGAGAAAATTTCAGAAAAAAACTCTCATTGAATGAATTCACAATTAATTTACTGAATGTATTGGATAAACTTTTATATTGTCTATTCCAAAATCAGGATCATTTAGCATTTTAGACTAATAATGTAAAAAAATTAAAATTGTTGAACTGGGTCAAGAAAATTCAGGTCTCATTTGTATTATCGCGACCGGAAAGAATCCTCAGTAAAAACAAACTCTCAGCCAGCAACAACAACTGCAGCAATATAGGTTAAAACTGCCACAAAACTGATGCATAAATCAATGGTAAAAACAAGCTACAAATCAACGAAAATAGCAAAAAATTCAAGCGAGGCATCAATTGATATTGCAATAGTTGATTGCAATAGTAGTAATTATTGTTATCGTTATAATTATTGTTTGAAGCACTAGCGATGCCAGTTACGATTAACGGTAACTAGTTAACTAATACAGATTAAAAGACACGTAACTAAAATTGATAAATAGAGCAGTATAGCGAAGCCAGTTACGATTAACGATAACCAGTTAACTAATTAAGTAATTAGTTACCTAATCAATTAATTAACTAAATAGAGTAGACGAGCCAGTTACGATTAACAATAACTAGTTGACTAATTAATTAACTAAATAGAGGAGTAGACGAGCCAGTTACCGTAGAGAAGTAACTAGTGGTCCTGTTGCTGCAGTAAGTGTAGACCAGTCGCAGGTGAATTTTAGTTTGAATATTAAATCTAGTTTTAGGTGCGTGACTTGTTACCTAACTTATCTACTTGACTAGTGATTTGAATGAAGGAAAAGTGAATTCTAAATACGAGGATTTTACTGAATTCAAACGAAACTGTATGCAAACTATAATACAAATGAATGAATTAATATCGAATATTGATCAAGCATTGATCGAAGGAGGAACTCATCATTTGAGTATGCATTATAATAAAAAAAATTTAAGTGAAATAAGTATTTAAGTCTGAATAAAGTGATTAAACGCTTAACCAAATATTTGTCTAAATATCACAAGGAAATGGAGTAAATTATTCATGATTGAAAATATTTAAAGCAAGATTGTTGAGTATTACGAACCAAATTAATTAATTATAAAGTCGTAGGCGCAAAAAATAGTGTCTTGAATTATATAATTAGAAATAATTGTTAACGCCTACACGGGGATTACAACAAATATTTTTCACGTCAGAAGCAAATCTCGCAGCAGAAATAAATAGCAACACAGACAATAAATATAATTATTAATTTAATATACAAAATGATGAGAGAGATTTTGTCTTGATTGAAATTCGATGAAAGATAAAGTTATTCAGAAATTTTTTTGAATTAGCAGCCAATTACCCAGGATAAATGGTGAAGCAAGTTAATGAAAAAAATTAGTTTAATTATTTAATTAAACATTGATGAACTTCATCAATCGAACGCACGGATGGATAATAGTAGAAATGTTAATGCTTCCAAACGATAGAACACAAGAACAAAAGTACCACAAAAAAAAAAATAGAACAAAAAAGTAGAAAAAAATCGTTCGTGCAAAAACAAGTAACAACTTCAAAATATTCAATCATAATGGGTTATATAATGTATGAATAGTTTTAGTAGCGATTACGAATAGTGCTTTTTATTAGTTTGTAGTGCATTTTACTAGGATATATTGCATATTTATGTATTCAACACAAATTTTTTTTAATAAATCTAGACAAATTTATTAATTACGCGTTACTTTTTCAAAATTGAGTTATTCATTTCTAGCATAATTTTTTATATTATGAAGGTGCCTTGAAATTATGATTTTAAATGTGATTAAAAACGTTCTCAGAACAGAAATATTTTAAATATCGAAAGTTTTTAAGCTTTTCTTATAAATTGTTTTTTAAAGACGGAGATGGGCAGCGATATATAAAGAAGAGAATAATACAGCAATTAGTTAATGATTCAAGGCATGGTAAATAGTTAATACGGTTAGTAAAGACATAGTAAACTATTGGAAAAAAATTATAAATGGATAATTTTCGTCTTATATTAGGTATTATCTAAATGATTCAATACCAGTGTTGGCTCATTAACTTTGAGTACCATTAATCGCCCCGTCATTACAAATTAGTAAACTTTAAAAAGTTTGAAATTTATTATCACTGAAAGTCAATAATACTTTATCTGTCTATTTGCGCTACAGACTGCATCTTGATGTGTATTTACAATGCAATATCGTGATGAGATTGCTAATAGGAAAGCGATCGACTAAAGGTACCAGTAATCCTGGATTAAAAGTCTACAAATTTTTGACCAAATCTTAATAGATTTATTGGGCATATTTTCTGAGGCCGATGATTTATTAGGAAAAGAAATGCATCTACGAGAAATAATCCATAATCCGACTGAAACTTCATTACTAAAATGCAAATTGAGTAGTTTTCGGGATCATAACTTCTATATGTTAAGATCTTTGCAAATGTTTTTTCAAGCTTTAAATTCAATCGATAAAAACCATGATTGAAAAACTGCAAGTTCGTAAGCACGAAATTTCGTTAGTAGCAAGCAGCACCAAACTCAGTATTTGCGCTCAACGAATTTGTGTCCAGTAAACACTCGTTAAGCACATCTTTATTCGTTCAAAGAATTTTCTCATAAAATATATTTGAAACACCAACGAAAAACTTCGTACAAGACAGACGGCGAAATAAAATATGGGGATATAAACATACGAGTAAAAAAACCTCCCGGTAATTTTGAAAAAAAAAAAATACTGTGAATTACATACCACCTCGCGGCTCACTTACCAGCTGGTAAAGAATGAACAGAAAGTAAAGTTAGACTTGTATGAGAAAAAGTCAATTCATGTTTTCCAATTGAATTTGAATTTAGAAAGATTTCACCAAACCTATTATAACATTCAAAGTTTGTTTAATATTTTAGAACATAGAAAAGAATTGAATTTCAAATATTTCTATGAAATTACTAGTATTATAGCTAGAATTTTCTATTAGACTCCATGTTACAAGTCGAAAACGTTTACTAATTTCTGAATATGCACGAAGGGTCATAATGATTAATTCTTTACATTATATAGTTAGAAATTTTGTTTTGAATTTTGTTAACATAGATTAACATCCTACTGCAAAATTTGATTTGATAATCAGACTTCGGTTGGACGTGTCTGTTAAATCGTTATATCACTTCCAGCAACATAATAAACCTCGAGACAGTTTAGATCATAACTTTATTAAGCTAAGAATAGACATAACTGATAGTTTTCCATCTATTCCATCAAAGAAATAAAAAAAATATATTATTTAGCAACCGAAGGCCACAACTATATTGAATTACGAATAGACAAAAATTTTTGATATGGACTCAAATTGAATGTTATATTATTAATAAATATTACATAGCTACAGAACGCACTAACCATCTGTAGAAGTTCATCTTTATACGGAGCTTTTCCTGGAGCACCGCCTTCCTCATCTTCCTCTTCGTCACTATACTCGCCTTCTTCGTCAGTGTACTCGCCTTCCTCGTCAGAATATTCATCGTCGTAGTCTTCCCCTTCTGGTGGTGGAGTAAAGCGGTGCAAAGGACGAGGACCTATATCTGTTTGGTTGCCACGCAAACGAAAAGAAAAAACGCAGAAACAAAATGTTAGTGAAGCTCCACCCCCTAACAAATTCAGAGTCGCCCCAGCTTCTGGTAATCCAAATCAGAAGCTGCCGCGTCTGTAAAATTCAGAGTCGCCCCAGCTTCTGGTAATCCAAATCAGAAGCTGCCGCTTCTGTAAATTTTCACTGGGACGTTCGTAAACCAAAACCTTGGTCCCTTGCTGTTGAAAGTCAGAAGTGCGTAAAGCTTGCTAGGTTAATTGAAATTAACCGAATTTTCGAGTTTAGAGCGTCAGAAAAATAACAATTCCATGCGAGTTTAACGTATGGAGTATGCTGATTCATGAACCAGAAATTTCATTTGGTATATAAATCTAATTTATTTCTGAAGTTTGTCATCATTCTTTGGCGGCGCGTGTTATAAAAGAATGAAATTGATGGGATTTTCAGTATTTTTGAGGCATCAGAGGATTGCAAAATTTTCAACGAGGATAGAATTTGAAAATGTTAAGTAGGAAATATATCAATGAGAAATTATTTTGAATTTCCTATTGGCGCCCACTTAAACGCACTTATGACCTTCAATCAGATACTTTCGTATTGTTTGTTTATTTAAATTTATTTTCAGTTATTTTATAAAGAGAAATTCAATTATGATTATGACACAGTATGGCACTATTAAGCAAATAAGCTATGTTGATGTAAAGTGTTAGCAGGATTGTAAACTAAATCGATTTGGCGGACACATTTTGAACGAAGCTGAATTTCATTGCACGGAAAAAAAATATACACAAATGTGTGATGTGGGCAGAATCAACTCTTTTTAGCGAGAAAAATTCTAAAAGTGTTTATCAGTAAATTCTAGCAAAAAATTTATCACTTTATTAACAAAGTTTTTTGTATGCTATCTCATGAATTATTTTTATTCAAGTTCACGTAAGAATTCCGGTTTTGATAGTTTTAACAAGTACAAAAATTTACGATTTGTTCTATTTCGATCCTTAGGAGAATTTAAGAAACTGGACAATATCTTATTAAAGAGAGTTTTAAATTATTATATTTACTTGATTGAGATCATGTGAATGAATATGTGGAAAATTAGAGTAGCTGTATTTGATGATTATGTTGAACAATTGCTTCGTAGTTCAAAGTTAAATGTTGTGAGTAATTTAAAGGATTTAATATTTAATACTTTAATTTCAACAATTCATTCCATTATTATTATTATTCACACATAACGAGCATAGCTCATGACAATATGAAGCCATAAACATATGTAATAAATTTAAATCTAATTGTGTTATCTGAAGCTGAATAAAGCTGAATAAACATGCTTGCAAAAATGCGTGGCAAAAATCTATGAATAAAGATGCGGCTAGAAACTGATCTACCATTTGAATAAATATATTAATTAATGAAATAAATATAATGCAATTCAAGAAGCAAAGCCAAATTCAACGAATCATCACTAAAAAATAATTCACGTCATAAAGTTTTTCCACTGCAAATTATATTTCTTCCAGCAAATTGAAACCCATATCCAAGAAAAATATTAAATAACAGGTTTCAAATACACATGAATATCCTAGCTATATAATTCAGAACGCGATTTAAATACTTGTGAATAATCACTGAAAAAATAATTCACGTCATAAAGTTTCTCCACTGCCAATTATATTTATTCTGGAAAATTAAAACTCATTTCCAAGAAAAATATTAAATTACAGGTTTCAAGTACACGTGAATATCCCAGCTATATAATTCAGAGTACGATTTAAATACTTGTGAAATAATGACTAGTTACCTGATTCTTCTTCATCATCCGCAGACGTGAATATCCTAGTTATGTAATTCACAATGGATTTAAATACTTGTGAAATAATGACTAGTTGGTTACCTGACTCTTCTTCATCATCCCCAGCTCCCGTACGCGAATATCCTAGCTATATAATTGACAATGGATTTAAATACTTGTGAAATAATGAATAGTTACCTGACTCTTCTTCATCATCTGCAGCTCCCGTATTCCTGGCTTCCATTTTCTTGAACATGGTCAGGATGGATTTTGTTTTACGGCAGTCGACCTCGTCTTGGTAATTGTCGGTGCAGCGAATCAGGTTGGGATCCCTGCCCAGTTCTACGTCATCGGTAGCGAGACCCTGTAATACCAAATTAATATCAAAAATTGATATATTACTATCAAAATTATTGTATAAATATCCAAAATAATAATTAAATATCAAAATTGATAGATAAATATCAAAATTTATAAATAAATATCCAAATTGATAAATAAATATCCAAATTTATAAATAAAGATCCAAATTGATAAATAAATATCAAAATTGATCTATAAATAGCATAATTGATCATAATAATGTGAATAAGTGAATGGGTTATTACTGGTAAAGTTTTGAAAGAAGGTCGTGCTACTCGAACAACTCCGTATTCGACCGAGAACTGAAATAGGTTCGCGTTATGCTAGGTTCTTTGAAATTAGACATTTTCTGTAACTATAAGGCAATTACTTTATTTGTGAAACAATATTTTAATTTAGCAAGATGTCTGATGGCTCTAAAACCGGATATTTTCATCCATCCAATGCGTTTAAATAATCAGGTTGTGACATACTCTAATAGATTATCTAATAAAATCTCTTAATATCTCCATTCATCATAACTGAATTAAATATCAGGCCATTTTTAAACAATAATGATTTTGTTTTCGCATGATACATGAGAAATTCAGAAAAAATGTTTGCAAAAATATTTCAGATGTTCAGAAATCACAAACATATTAAAAAAAAGCCAAAAATTTTGTTGCATTAGTGGCAATGGACGATATTTACGATTAAATAGGTAGTAAACAATAAATTACTCATTTATAATTTAGTTCTGAAGTTCTATTTCTTCAGAATGAGGTATGTTGTATGAATCAAAGCATATGCATATAGAGCTGAAAATAATTTCGATTAAATATAAAAAACAGTACAGCTACCTTACTCTGCACACACGTTAACAGTTATGTTTAATTAAAGAATTTCTTTGTTCCACACTAGGAGGATATTATTTTAGAATAAATTTCATTGCCTAGTATAAACTTTAGAATGATATATACAATATACAATAATAATGTTGATTGTATATATTATTTCAAACGAACAATCACGTTAAAGACGAACAGTCCTGTTAAAACTTTGGCTTAGTTAGCAGGACAAAAGTATTGCATATAAGTTCATCAAGCCACAATTTGAACACACTTTGGAAACATTTAAATTGTTAGTTGGATAAGCACAAAAACGTTTAACAAGTATAGTGACATTCGAGTTCCCCGCCTGACTCATACATGCACAAATAAGTTGGAATGACACGAAATGCATATGACAAAGAACCACACACTATGAAAATTCATATAAAAACTAACTTACAATTCTGCCAAGAACATAAATAAAATCAGAAAGCTTAGGCTCCCTTGAAATTTCCAGTTCTATTCCACGTATTTAAGCAATATTTTATTAGCTATAGTGTTCGTACGTATGATGCAAATTCTACAACAATGTAAGTTGATACTTTTGTAGATTATTATGTTCTTCAATTTTTATTATCTGAAATCAAATTATACACTCAAAAACCATTGCATTCAATTGCAAACAAATCTTCACACACACTTAAATTGCCTAACAAAAATTATTTGCAATGTATGCCATATTTAGTAGAACAAACTTCAGAAACTTCAACTTCTTAAAAAAAAACTCATTGAAGTCGGAGAGCTGAAAACGTGGGATTTTTTTCGTTTCTACATGCAATTAATGAATTTAATTTGAATGTTGAGCAATTGCTTTATAAAACATTATCGCATTATATAATATGAAAGGAGCCAACATTGCACCATTCAATACTATTTCTATATCGCATATACATACTTATTGAACTTAATATACAGGAAATTTAGCGCAACAATACTCAGACAAATTATTTTTACTAAGGGAATGCATTTAAATTGTGCAAAATGGCCAATTACTTTAAATGTAAATGTTCGAATACGAAAGAAATATTTTCAGTTCAGCAATTTTTAGCTCATCGTTAAAACAACGATAGTAATAGTTCTTCAGATTGAATTTTACATGAAATGCTTTAGTCAAAGTCAAAGCTAAGTATTAGTGAAAAAATCTCATATTCAGAATCGATATCATAAGGTAAAGTTCTAAAAAATAATTCCAAATCATTAATAATTGAACTGAGAATAATTTCAGATAGAATTAATATAATTTTAAGTAGTAAAACAATTTGTTATACATACGATTCCAGACGACGTTTGGGTGAAGAGAAATCTCGGAACCAGTAACTCTTTAGATATTATACTTCATTTCATTGTCTTGAAGCGACGAAGAATAAGAATTAAATATTTATCGCAAATAAATAATTAGGAGTAATGTCACACGTATTAATCATCATGTTGATGATTAATATAATATAAACTGGATTCATTCAAATTTATCTTGGCTAAATTTATAGGTATGGGTTTTAAAACTGCAAATAGTTGAGTGAAAGTAGCAGCAGACAAAATTTTTTTATGGCATCACACCTCAAAAAAGTTTTTTTAACTAGAGTAGTTTCAGCGACATAATCTCAAAGCATAATCTTATCAAAACTGAAAAAATAATTAATAAACCTAGATTATCGCCTATATTCCCGCTTCGTAGTAATTGAAAACTGTAAATTTATTTACGTAAACATGGACAAAGGAACTAAAAACATGTTAACTCACGACAAACGTTCATGATAAATGCCTACGTAAGCTAATGAGTATTTCAGGCTTCTTATATACTAGACTACAAACTCATTAATATGCCAAAAATTCAATTCGACTTGATACTACGACGCACTAATCTAAAACTCGATTGTTTGACAAAGGTACTTTCATGAATAATGCTCATGCATCGTTTAAATTGTATCCGCAAACATATTTAACGCACACAACGAAAAATTTTATTAGAAAATTAATTAATAACGTCTTATTCAAGATACGGTATAATATAAAATTTCAATCTTCTTAGCTGGTATTAGAAGAATAGGAATAATCATCCATCAACACGAGGCTGGACAGGTAAACTGAAAGTGACGCCCATGAAAAAAGCTTTAATTCAAATATGATTTCACTTCGCTGTTAGGCGAAGCATGTGCTTGGTGAGGTAGAGTCGCAAAAAATTTTACCTTATCACAATATCGGATACATTTTTCATCGCAAGTATTCCTGCATCTCATTAGTGACGTGGAGGTGAATTGCTTTTTGTAGAATGTAGTTGCCAGCAGATGATTTGCCATAATTATACAATGTACTTGCCAGCAGATGATTGTTTACGGAGACGGCAATAAAATTCTACAAAACCCGATTTGAAGGAAGCTTACGTAAATATTAAAATATCAGAGAAATCACCAGCCACTAATAGGGCACTTATTAGGGAGACGCTGAGTGCGAACAACCGCATCGCTGGTCACGCTCGTACATAATGACGAAAGAATTTAGAATTTCAAACACCGAAACAATGCAAATTAATTATAAAAAGTAGGTTTTTGAGATGGGTCAAAATAATTCAGACGAGACGTAAGGGAGGTGTTCATTTAGATTCGGTTTTAATGGATGCAGGGAAGATTAAAAATTCAAAAAGGTGATAAGAGGAAATGGGGAATTCATAACAAACAAAACAGCAGGGTAACGAATAGCGCGTTTCAGAAAATACCATCAAAGAAATTTATTGCCAATTAATAAAATTATTTCAGGAGAGAGATAAATTTCAGCTGGATTCGAAAAAGGGACAGGGGAACATAATTCGAACAAAACCAAACAAAACATCTAAAAAAGGCACTCGACCAGAAATTACCCGAAGCTTGCACACAGCACAATTAACAGCCATGCAACGTCTCATGGTTTTGGCCACCAGTTCGGGCGGCAGCTCGGGCACCTGGGCCTCTCGTGGTGGCGTGATGCGAAAAACTTTTCTCTTGCGCTCGGCTTCCTGCTTCTGACGTTGCTCGAACGTCGCGAAGAACATAAACTTGGAGGCCAAGTCCTGGGTCTCGACTTGTGGGTCGTCGTCGACTGCGTCATGACAACGAACGATGTCCCCGGTTGGAGTCTGAGGTTCGTGCAGTCGTCCAGCCTGAATTTTTCAGGGGTTCGTGTGCGAATTGTGAGTGATTTACGAATTATTGGGTAGGTTGGGGACTGGTTTCGTACTGGGTATTGCGTGCATGAATTGTGAGTGAATTTACAAATTATTGGGCGGGTTGGGGACTGGATGAGGTGGTTTCGTACTGGATATTGTGTGCACGAATTGTAGTGAATTTACGAATTATTGGGCGGGTTGGGGACTATGTTAGGTGGATTAGTAATTGTGATTATGCGCACAAATCGAGAGGGAATTTACGAATTATTGGGCAAGTTGGGGACTGGTTTCGTACTGGGTATTGTGTGCACAAGTTTTGATCGAATTTATGAATTGTTGGGCGGATTGGGGGGTCGGATTTTTTGCGGAGATCCTGGAAAATTTGTTGAGTTCCATGGAAGAAAAGGGGTTTGAATATTATTCTTGCTCAGTCCAATGGAGGCATGGAATGGGGTAGGGATGAACTGATTGGGAAGAAATAACTGAACATTTTTGAGAGAATTATAGACGAGTTTCGCTTGATTTCCGAGTCCATTGAAACTGAATTGCGAGTTTCGTTCGTTTTTTTTAAATCAAGAAGTGGGTTTAGACGACTCACTTGAGATTGCAGGATTGTAGGTCGTTGGCAAGGAGCATAGAATAATAAATTGATTCTTTTATACCAATTCAAGTTCGAATCGATAAGAAGCCAACATGTCGGTCGGATTTGACGAAATAATTTGGTCGCATGCATTTTAGTACTTTTCAATGTAAATTTTTGAATTGAGATCAATTCAAATTAATTGTCATGAACCCTGAAAAAACATTCTAGCTTTGCACGAATTCTACTTACGATCTAGCCAAGTTCAATATTTATTGCGTATAAAGTTACTTTAGATCATTTCCATTTGTTTCTATCTCTTGTACAAGTAATACCATTAGATGCATGCAAATAATCTTAGTAAAGTAGCTTAAAAATTATGAACCGATAGGAGCTGTAATAATGTGAATTATATTTACGTGCACTATAACCGAGAAACAGTTTCATGCAATTTGACAATTAAATTCAGAAGCATTAAAATATTTATATATTTGCTACGAATGAAAATATATTCAAATAGGACGACATTACAATAACTGCAACCAAGTTTTATTAACACTGGTTCGCCATTTCACCAGAAAATCAATATTTCCTTCATTTCATCTTTTTTTGTCTAATTCGTTTGAAATGATGGAAATTTTGTCATCTCTGTCTAATTCCAAAAAATTGTAAACGATGGATGCTAATTCACTGTCAGCGCCACCTCCTTAAATGAAAATATTCAACGTATCACCTGATAAAAAAAAATTAAAAATTAAACTAAGAATCATTAATGAATTTTTAGTTTGTACATAAAATTTAATAATCAAAAATATTCCAATAAATTTTGAAGTAGGATTATTAGACCTCACTGCAACGATCCTGTACATAAACCCATATAAAGAAATTTTCTCTGCTTCACAATTAATAACATCTTATTACCCGAAATAATCAACAAAATTACTACAAAACATTTTATATAATATGAATAAAAATTAAAAACTAATAGATCACATGAAGAAAATTTTACACGATTCAGTTTCACAATTAATTACCTCTAATTACCTGAAAATAACACAATTATTACAAAAGAGTTCATATAAATATAAGTAAAAACTAATAAATCACGTGGAAAAATTTTATAAATGGTAAATTGTGTTGAAAATCATCTGTACTCACATCAACGCAGATCGTCTGTTGTTCCTGTTGGTGCTGTTAGCGAAGGACTGTGAGCGCTAATCTGACCAGAAACTGGCGCACAGAGCTGGGATCGAACCCGCGCCTCTCTGCGCCAATCCTGGTACTCTGAACTTTAACCACTGGGCCACCCTGCCACCCTATAGTTGTTCTTAATTAACATAAGCAAAATCTTGTACTAAATCGTTCAATTTTTTGTGTATTCCAACATGTACAAAAATTCTTTATGATAATTTATTTCAATCAACCAGTAACCATAAAATCCACCTCACCAGCTTCCTTGAAGATCTCCTCGACTTCTTCCTTCTCGCCTACGTGGCGGCGGCCGACGTCGTCGTTTTCTTCGTCCAAACAAAATGGCTGACCTTTTTCGAATTTTTCTTTCAGGCTTCGGGCCGCCCTTTTTTCGTCAATTTTGATTTCTTCTTTATTTTTTGTGTGATTTTTGTCTTCGTTTTCAAATTGGCCTGACTCGAAACGTTCCTTTAATGTAGTGTTCTTGCCCTGAAAATTTAGATCAAGATTAAGATATGAAATAGAATTGAAAAATAAAAAAATAGAATTGAACAAAAAATAATAAGATTAGAGAAAAATATAATTTTTTACGATATGGTACGAGAAAAAAAAGTTGCAGGATTACAGGACCTGGTTCTTCGGAGTCTATCGATAATAATTGTATTATCCTTAATTCGCTAAATTCATTGGAGGATTTTTTCGCAATGAAAGTAGATGAAGATGAAAAATGTATGATCCTGATGCATTATGCGCCGGCTTTGCGTAATATTGGTTATGCAAACGTTAATAATGGAATTGAACGTTATTCATGATTTAATGCGATGCTCATTTGTTAATGCTGAACGTGGTTATTAATGAAATTGAACCCTATCCATGATATAATGCGATGTTCATTTGTTATTGCTGCACGTGATTATTAGCGCAGCATACGCGACTAATAGTTTTCAGAAACACTGTGAAATAAAAATTACTTTTATAATTTAAAGGGTAACGATCGACCGACTCATAAGATATATAACAATAAATATAATCGTGAACATGATAAATTACGCCAAAACCAAGGAAAATGTTACAAAAAACGAAGTATGAATATAAATAAGCCTTGACTAATATAAGAAATAAAAAAAATGCGGTAACGATAAATATAATCATGAAAATAATAAAAAACGTCAAAACAATCGAAAATACGCCTGAACTAATATGAGAAATAAATAAAAAGAACGGACCGCGCATAGCATCTGTCGGAATCGCCCCAGTTCCTCCTTGCGCATTTTCGACATCTCGTCGCGACGACTGCGCTTTTCGTACGCATCTTTCATGCCGCTCGTGATAACCTGTGAATAAAAATGTTACATTAAATTTTTACTTATAATATGACTAAAAAACGTGACATTAACCTTTATTTGTGATATGAGTATAGACTATCATATTAACGATTAACATGTATATATTATAGAAGTAACGAATGTGAAATTAACGATTTTTTACAATAAGAGTGTGATACATGGAGTAAATAACGTTAAATTAATAATTAAACGTGAATTAAAGATCCGAGATCATAGGAATTCCCAAATTGTTGAGAAAAACCGGGAAGAGATTTGAAACATTTTTTAATCCTAATTTTTAATGAAAGATTAAATTGTACTGCACTATTATTCTGGAAAGACTAAAATATTTCTAGATCTAAACTGTTCTAGTTAAATCTACTACTTTACTACTAAGCAATTAAACATATATGAAATTAATGAACGACAGAATAAAAAGGCGTATGTAAGACAGTTTCACGGTTATCATAAAAACAACATCACAAAGTAGTTTTCAAACACTCATTTAAACATTTAATTTATATTTCAACATTATTTTAAACATTTGAATCCATTTCCCCCCCCCCCCCAATTTCGAAAAACGACAGTCATAATTACAAAATTTTATTTTCCAACTATTATAATGTTAAACTAATTATTTATTTAACAGCCAATAATTCATTTACACAAATGCAACAATAAATCCGAAAAACGACAGTCATAATTATAAAATTTATTTTCCAATTATCGCAATATTAAACTAATACTTTTTGTAAATGAGTATTTACATAAATGTAACATAAAAATCTTACCCGTTTCGTTTTCTTCTTCTTTGTTGTAGTTTTTGTTATTATTGGCTGTCCATCCTCGTCCACTCCTTCTTCCACCTCCTCCTCCTCTTCCTCTTCCGTCTCCTCTTCTCCCTCTTCCACGTCTCCTTCCTCTTCTTCTTCATCTTCGTACTCGCCGAGCTCGCAATTATCCACACCGTAATCTTCGCTGCCATTCTGTGCTAAGAATCTGGAATTGAGAGAAAAAATTAAGAGAGAAAAATCAGGTGAAAATTATGACATAGAAATTAACGCAAAAATTAAGACAGAGAAATTAAAGCAAAAATTAGGACAGAAATTGAAGCAAAAATTAAGACAGAGTAATCAAAACAAAAAATAAGACAGAAAAATTAAAACAAAAATAAGACAGATAAATGAAAGCAAAAATTAAGACAGAGTAATTTAAACAAAAAATAAGACAGAGAAATTAAAACGAAAATTAAGACGGAGAAATTAAAACGGAAATTAAGACAGAGAAATTAAAGCAAAAAGTAAGTAGAGAAATTGTAACAAAAATTAAGACAGAGAAATTAAAGCAAAAATTAAGACCGAGAAATTAAAGCAAAAATTAAGACAGAGAAATTAAAACAAAAATTAAGACAGAGAGAAATTGAGACAAAATTTTAGACAGAAATTTTTTACAGAACAATTAAGATAAAAAATAAGACAAAAAAGGATCATGGCCGTAAAATTAACCGGAAAAACTAATTCCTGAATCTGAGTTAAAAAATAAGTTATATAATCACGTCTCTTTCATCATATAAAAATAAGAACCAACGCAGCAGCAATCCCGAACTTGCCATGAAAGAAGCATATTAATGCCTGAAATATTTTTATATAATATTATAAACAAAAATTAACGTGCATGCAGAATTTGTTAGAAGTATTCTCCTACTTTCCATCATTAACGCCACTATTATCATTTCTCTCAACCAAAATGAATTTGAAATTTGAATATGAGGAAATATAAAATATTTTAATTGAACCATTAACATATTTGAACCCACCCGCGACATACCAAGAACTGTGAACGCCTCACAGCCACGGGCTCGAGATTCACTGCCGTTACCACTATTACCATCACTAACATAATTACCAAAACACCATTAAATTTGTATAAATACTTTAACCATGAATTTAAACCTATCTAGCAGCGCGACTGATCAGAGACTGTGAACGCCTGACAGAGCCAGGCTCGAGCTTGACCACCGTTACCATTATTACCATTACTAACATAAATACCAAAACACCATGAAATTTACATAAATACCGAACCATGAATTTAAACCTACCTAGCAGCGCGACTGATCAGAGACTGAGAACGCCTGACAGAGACAGGCTCGAGCTTCACTGTTACCATTATTAACCAACATAATTACCAAAACATCATTAAATTTATATAAATATTAAACCCTTAATTTAAACGCACCTTGCAGCACGACTGATCAGGGACTGTGAACGCCTGACAGAGACAGGCTCGAGCTTGACCTCCGTTACCACTATTACCATCACTAACACAGTATCATAATTACCAAAACACCATTAAATTCATATAAATATTAAACCATGAATTTAAACCTACGAACCATGAATTAAAACGTACCTAGCAGCGCGACTGATCAGAGACTGTGAACGCCTGACAGAGACAGGCTCGAGCTTGACCTCCTGCTCCTGCGTCGCGTTCTCGAAGATTGAGAAACGCTGCTTGACGTTCAGCGTCTGTAGCTCCTCCAGCCCGTAGTCTGGCTTGCTGGTCGCTGCATATAATGATGAATATTACATGATTAGTGATGGATACTACATGGATAGTGATGATGTTAAGTGAATAGTGATGGATATCACATGAATAGAAATGAATAATACATGAAGAGTGATGAATATTACATGAATAGTGATGAACAATAGATTAAGAGTGATGAATAATAAATAAATGGTGATGAATACTGCGCAAAGAGTGATGATTATTGCATAACTCGTGGATGGCTGCCTTGAAAAATATTATCCGTTGTGATGAATATTACACAACAAATTATAAATATATCATGCTTAGTGGATGATTAGTGTATGATAAGTGAATATTATAAATGATGTTTGATGGTGGATGGTGGATAGCAGTGACTTAATTTTATCAACGTATGGTAAGCAAGTATATATACGCATCATGCGTGCAGTATGGTTGCCAATATAATTAGTTACAATTCGCAAAATTGATTATTATTACATATTAATTAATTGAACGGTGACTTGAAAAAACTTGATGTTGCATCTAGAGCGACGACGGGAGAAAAACAGGCAAGACGCTGAATATGCTGCACAGCCTCAATATGCTGCACAGCCTCAATATGCTGCACAGCCTCAATATGCTGCACAGCCTCAATATGCTGCACAGCCTCTATGTGCTGCACAGTGTCGCGAGTGATAAGTTAAACGAAGGCTGATGAAGAGCGACTGTACATGTGTACGTTAACGTGTACATGTGTACGTTAAAGTGTACATGTGTACGTTAACGTGTACATGTGTACGTTAAAGTGTACATGTGTGCGTTAACGTGTAAATGTGTACGTTAAAGTGTACATGTGTGCGTTAATATGCCAGAAGACACATACACGCAGAAAACGTCCATGCGCTAGAACGCTATATATACTATGTTGGTTTAGGATTGTTGAAGTGCATATGCAGCATCATAAATTTTGTTAAATTTATACAAGTTAGCAAAATGCGAAAAAGGAAATGAGGTAAACAAATGCAGTTTTTAAGGTAAAAAAAATCTCTATATAAGTAGTAATTAAAAATGAAGTATTCGAATGAATCGTAATTTTATTTTAAAAATCCAGGGCTTGATAGATAATTGTTTAATTTTCTAAGAGTAACTCTACGCAGAAAAAAACAATCGAATTTGTCTGCCTAAGATGAATCCCGAGAACAGGATAATATAATACTGCGGGTAATGCAAAACGGCAAGTTGCGCAAAAACTACGGGCAATAAGCTGTTAATTGCTACAAAAAATAGGAATCTTGTTTAAAAATTCAAATCTCGCGAAAATTTACAAGTGATTTAAATTAAAATTAGTCTCTTGATCGAAATTAGTCTTTTGATTAAAATTAGTCTCATGCTTAAAATTAGTCTCTTGAATAAAATTAATCTTTAGATAACAATTTATCTCAAGTTATTTTAAAATATGCGATAAATTGTAACAAAAATCGACGACACTGAGGAAGCAAAATTTTCAACTCAATAAATAGCGCTCAACCTGAATATAAGTACTTAAGTAGGCCTTCCAAAAAAATTCAATAATACCCGGAAGAGAAGCAGGTAAGTATGTGCAATACAAATAAAATAGCTCATCAACATCAGAACAAAGTTTTTTATGGCATTTTCGCCAAAATCATTTTGAACGACAAAACTCCGAATGCGTAAAATACAAACTAGTGCTAGTGAAAAAACAACACTATAACACAACAAAACAAACAGGCACTATAACGCAAAATAACGCTAACAACGCTAGCCTACAACGTTAGTAACGTTGACCTCACCCCGCACGACGTCGTCGGGCAGCTCCACTGGATTAGACTCCAGCACTATGAGCTTGGGTCGCCTCAGCACTGCAGCATTGTTATCATTATTTAGTAAATTACCTTCCGTTAATTACCTGCAACCCCGTTCATAATTATTTAGTAAATTACTTTTCATTATTACCTGTAGTAAAGTTCATAATTATTTAGTAAATTACCTTCCGTTACGTACTTAATTGCCTGTATTATCGTTCCTAATTACGTAATAATAAAGTGTTGTTCTGTCATTAAATACCTGCAGCATCATTTATATTATGTACTCGATTACCTCTAATTATTCATTAAATGTTGCAGCTGCGTTACTCTCATGCTGTGATCTATTTGGTTTCTCGGGCGTCACTTTCATACTAATGTTCCCGTTTATTTTTGTCGCTGAAACAGACACCAAATAATACCGTTTGTGTTTATCACTCTGCTTGTGTTTGCCACAAACTAGTAGTGGAAATAGTTTGCCGCAACCTAGTAGTGAAAATAGTTTGCCGCAACCTAGTAGTGAAAATAGTTTGCCGCAACCTAGTAGTGAAAATAGTTTGCATCCCAAAAATTGTCACTTATGTTTGGGTGCAAACTACTTTAAAGCAAGTGATTCAAGTGGGTCAAAATATGCTAACCAAATTAGCGTAGAAATTTCATATGCTTATGTTGAATGTAAGTCAGGACTCAAGTTTTCATAAAGATGTATGTTGTCACAATTTGTTAATATATGAAATATGCATGTATAAATTTGAACTAAAGGTGAATTTGTTCAAAACCCTAGAAAGATCCTTATTAGAAATTTCAAAATGCCAATAAACTATGTTGATCAAACTGCCTAGCTGTAAAAAATTGCTTTCTGAATCTGCAATATTAAATCCTATTTCAGCATCATAGGTATCAATTCTGTTTCATCACAATTCTAATGCTCCAGAAAGTCCAGAGAAAATTAATTATAAAACTTACATTGTTCTGCAGAAAATCCGGAGAAAATTAATCAGTTATTTAATAATTAATTAATTGATAATTAATTAATAATTATTTAATTAATAATTTAAATTTAATAATTTGAAATAATTATTTAATAATAATAATTATTAATTATTTGATAATTAATAATAATTAATTAATAATTAATTATTTAATAAGAGAAAATTCATTAATAAATTAATAATAAAACTTACATCGTTCTTTGCGAGCCTCGGTAGGATCTTCAACCACAGCCTTGGGTCTGAAGAGATCCTTGAAGTGAGGCTTGCAGTACAGCGTGCCTTCGTGACTTTGGTACGTCTCCAGCCTGAATAAATATTAAATTTTAGTCATCAACACTGCATATAAATTAAAAGTATAATCTCAATTGAAATAAAAGTAGGTACTATACTAGAATATCAGAGTTGGTTAGTTCCTAAGCAAGGGCAAATTTTAAAGGGGTCTGTGCCTATTTGATATATAAATTTTCAAAATATTATTTGAGAGACAAGCTTATGTGAATGATATATGAAATTATCATTCATATTAAATTAAAATTATGGGCTACTTATTTTTTTCACAAATTCATGGGAAAATCAATAAATCTATGTATTTTACTATGTACGCCATGATAATTCAGTTCCATGTGTTTTGCAATATAGATTTTTAAATTATGAAACTCGAAGAATTAGAATATTAAAACAGCAGTGACATATCGCACACATCAAAAAAATATAAGTTTATAGTAAAAATAAAATTTTCAAACAAATGTTGGACGAGCTAGCATCGACATAACTGGAAATTTCAAAACAAATATAGGTTGAGTTCTCATCAAAATTTTTAAACTGTAAATTTTTTATCGAATATAAAATTTTCTATCAAAATATAGTTGAGTTCACATAGACATGAATAAATTTTTCATTGATCGGACAATTCTGAACCAAAAATTTCCTTAGCTCTTATCTACAAAGCACCAAATTTTTCATCGAAAGGAAAATTTAAAAAAAAAATTTCAACAAAAAATTTCAACAAAAATTTCAAACGAAAATTTTTAAGCAAAAAATTTTCAACGGAAATTTTTCGACAAAAAAATCTCAGCAATAATTTTCAACAATAAATTTTCAATAAAAATTTCTTAAAAATATTTTAGCAACAAATTTTCAACAAAAATTTTTTAGCAAAAAATTTTAAACAAAAATTCTTATCGAGTTATCATACGTAAGGTTTTTGTTGCACTCCTTGCAGCGGAAGCAGTTCTTGTGCCACGACGCCTTCTCCGCTACTATCTTCTCCATCTGGAAGACCTGCTTACCGCAGGCACGGCAGTCGCTTGACACCATCGTCGGCTCCTGGGGGTAGGAATAACGTTAGTGCAACCAGGGGAATATTACCATACATATAATAACGCTATTTAGAAAATGAAACAGGAATGAGGCTATTTTAAAAGGAATAACCCTTGTGAAACCAGGGAAATATTCCCATGCATATATTGGCGCTATTTAGAAAATTTAATAACGTTAGTATAAGCAGGGAGAATATTCCCATGCATATAATAACGTTTTTAAAAACAGGGAAATATTCCCATGCACATATTGGCGCTATTTAGAAAATGAAATAACGTTGGTGTAAGCAGGCAAATATTCCCGCGCGTATAATAACGCTATTTACAAAATGGAATAAGGTTATTTCGAGCAGGAATTAGGCTAATAAAAATAGGGAAATATTCCCATGCGTATAGTAACGCTATTTAAAACAAGAATGATGATACTTTCAGCAGGGAAATTTTTCCATGCATATTATAACGATATTTAAAACAGGAAAATGTTCCCATGCATATAATAACGCTATTTAAAACAGGAATGACGCTATTTTGAACAAGAATGACGCTATTTTAAACAGGAATATCCTTAGTGCAACCAGAAAATGTTTACATGCATATAGTAATGCTATTTAAAACAGGAATAACTATTCTAAAGAGGAATAACGTTATTTCAAGCATGAATAATACCATTCCAAACAGAAAATTAGCTACTCCAAACAGGAACTAAGCTATTCCAAACAGGAACTAAGCTATTCCAAACAGGAATTAAGCTATTCCAAACAGGAATTAAGCTATTCCAAAAAGGAATAATTCTATCACAAACAGGATAAATTCTATACCAAATGTGACAATATTCCTATTCATTTAATAAGAGGAGAACATACTTTTCAGAACAGTTATGCTTTCATGGATGGCATCTTACGAAGACGCATGGCGGCGTGAAAAATGTTTGACTGAAAACATACAAGTATAAGTCGTTAATATGAAGTTGGAATACCCACATATATCGATTTATTGTGAAAGCCAATGCGAATGAGGATGAAAATCTATCAACAAATTGTTATCACAAAAAAATGAGAAACGTAAGTATCCAACAGAAATTTACAAAAAAATTATTAGGAACAAAAGAGATAAATGAATTTTTGAATTTCAGCAATGAGTGGTGGTTAGAATGAAATCTCAAGGTGATTACAACTATGTCGAGTATTAATTCTTTCACTACTATAATTATATACCTAATTTTACATCATATAAATGAATGCTAAGCCAGCGAAGTCGACTTCAAACATTCAAATTAGTTGATGTAATACGGTATAGTAGCGATAAATCTTTTGGAGACGTAAACGTTAACCACGATTGCTAATTGTGACGCGAATAATCTAATTAGCAATTAGTTATCAATTTCAATTGATCCAACGCCATCATATAGTTGAAGACTCGTGCAACATTCGCAGTAGATAATGTTTAATTCAACCTTATTGCATGAATTCAACCGCTAAACATGTGCAAGTTGGCTACTTCATGCATAGCGCAACGTAACCGTGAGGCAATAGGCAAATTACGTACTTAAAATGACAAGTCTGAACGCTCGCGATAGGCAGGCATTAGGCCGTGACTAGTGTTAACCTTGGAATAATAATTACGCGGTTTGCAGGATTGCCTATATAGACGTTGATAAAAGATTCTTTCTTTTACCAAGGCTTTCTCAACAAAAAGTTGAGAATGTAGATATGTAAAATAAATATAACAAATATTATAGTTAGCTAAATAATATAAATATATTTGCACATGAACTAAAGTGATCCATAATTAAATTAAGAGAAATTATTATGCGAAAATCTCCCTAATGCGACAAGACAAGAAGTAATCTGATCGTCTATACTTAAAAATATGAATAACACTCTAAGCCGCTTACCGGCTTTCCAATTTTTTTACAACAATGACTAGCTTTAGACATAGCCCATCTGAACGAAATCTAGCTTGCATCGTCGATTTCAAACTTTTAAAATAGTTAAAACTTTTAAGCCCGTCCAGCGAAGCTCCTTAACCAGACAGAGAACAGATCGAATGAACCTTCATAACAGATGCTAATCCATGAACGGAATAATTAATAATCAGAAATTCATTAGGAATACCTTTCATAAATTTCAGTTTGCGTATAACGGCTATTTATACGAGATATAAATAGGTTGTCACACGGTATAAAGTTTTTTCATGTTTTGTATGACAAACGATTTTTCAATTGTAAAAAAAAACACTACATCATATTCCGTTACTTCCTTCAGGGCCGTGCATCGGCGCTCAACATGCAAGAAAATTAAATAAAAATTGTTTACTATTAATCATTTCAAAATAAAAGCCATACATCATCTATTATAGCGACAAACTTCCCGACTAAGGTTGATGTAAAAATTGTGTTATTTTTAATTCAATGCTTCAGCGGTAAACTTATAGAATTTTCGAATGAACATTGCAACACCCCAGGAAGAATACTCAAAGAAAACAGTGTGACACTTAAAAAAAATTTACATTGAGGTCAAGTACTCCAGTAAAAAAAACTTGTGCTGTAAAAGTCAATAAAACACAGTCCGAGTGAAGCGATCATTAGGTAAATAGAGCGGCCTGGGGCCGACAACTCGTACGACGGGTTGAGAGCAGCAGCATCTGTTGTACAGATGCTGCTGCTGTTCTAGGTAATTAAAGGATGACTGTTCTACTTTAAATTCATCTTATTTTTTAATAATATTGTATATTTACATATGTTACAAGGTGTATGGAATATTCGGTATCTGTTGAAGAGATGCTGTTGCTGTTGCTCTTCAAGGTAATTAAGGAAAGGCTGTTCTACTTGAAATTCATCTCATTTTTAGCGCATGTTCTCTTAGATGGAAAAAATGCGCTATTGTGCTCGCTATGTCCGTCTGTCCGTCCGTCTCTCCGTCCGTCTGTCTGTCTGTCCGTCCATGACTAAACGTTTTCGTCGTAGAGCAAATGCGGTCTCTGTCACTCACTGCAGTGAGTACTGAGTTATATTATTTAATAATATGGTATACTATTGGCATTGGTATTGGTATATTTACATATGTTACAAGGTGCATGAAATATACGGTTTTATTTGCATAGTTTTAAAACCTTGTACAGCAACAGCCTCTGTTGTACAGATGCAGCCACTGTTCAAGTAATTAAGGGTTGGCTGTTCAACTTAAATTCATCTTATTTTTTGATAACATTGTATGTTTACATATGTTATAAGGTGTATGCAATATACGGATTTATATAGTTTTAAATATCTTGAACAGCGAATGCATCTGTTGTACAGATGCTTGTTTTAATAATATGGTACATTTACATATGTTACAAAGTGTATAGAACATACAGTTTATTTTAGGGTTTATTGGTTAATTGATCATCTGATCAATAGTACATTAAAAAGCATTCATGGATGAATAACAATTAAGGAGATATGCATACAAACACGGGAAATGAAAATACGAAACTATCTATGCATTATCAAAAGAGGTAATAACCGTTTGAAGGCGATTTTCATCTATTCAAATGCAGCGATGATTGAAAAAATAAAATAATAATTAAATATTTGTGGAACTCTTCCAAAAATTTACGTTGAATTGCGCAGAAGGCACAATAATACACCATATTTTGTAGGCGACAGTCATTGGTATAGAAATAGACCTCAATAATTCAATGTTATAGAAAATTCCTCAGATGATCTCAAACTGAATATTTCCCGGAACATAATGCACAGGAAGTTTTCAAGACGACTTATTTTGAAACAAAATAAATAGAGCGTTGACTACAATACAGCATCTAGAAAAGAACTCTTAAAGCTGACCGTACGAATAGACAAAAGTCTCTACATAGACGGAGATTTCTCCGCGGTTTTGTATTGGAGTCAAAGACACGTGTGCTGTGAGCATAGCAAACGCCTCTAATATAAAGAAGTGATTAGATCATGAGGATTCTTCTTGAATTCGAATTTTTTCATGTTTTATTAGCGCGAAAGAAGATTAGTTAAAATTTGCATTCAATTTATTACGTAGCTAATTTTGTATATAATTTAATTGGACACGTCGCTGATTTGGCATGTCATGTAATTGGTTACATATCTAAATTTGATAGAATTTAATTTATTCCGAAGCAAAAATTTAATATCAATCAATTGATCACGTTGCTATAAAATGTATATAATTTTCTAAATAATCTTTTTAAAAAGTTTTCAAAAATGCATTGAAAAACAAATAATTAGGATATTCAACATAAATCAGAATCAGGCTTTGATTCATTATTTTTAAAACAATGAAAAGCCTGCAAAATAATGCAGGAAATAAACTAAAATAATTTCACTAGAAATACCTAATGACGCAGACAAACACAAATTAGTACCTTTGTTTAGGCAGTGAAAAAATTGGAAGGAATATTAACTAGTGAATTAAAAGGCATTCATGGATAAATAAGAAAGAGAGACATGCATACAAAATAAGGGATGAAAATACGAAAATACATATCATTAACCGAATACGATTAATTAACTGGGAAGCTGTGAAGGGGGCGTGAAAAGGTTACGGAAAGTGAAAGAGTTGCTGGTTAATTAACCTCGAGCAAAGGTTAAGTTTGTCGAGTGCGGGGTGTAATGATCGAGGTGGGAAAAGCAAACCTTTTTCCGACAATTTACAACATTTGCTCGGTAAATTTAACCTTCATAACAATCACCCCTGTCCCAGCTGTCAGTGCTCATTCACGAACTTTTATTGTCAATTAAATTGAATATTTTTACAAAATTGAAGTACCTGCTGAATGATAATATTTGCTACTAAATCGTAAATTTAACTGTCAAGTTGTAGAATTAACTACCATATTGTAAATGTATTGAATATAATTCCTATATTTTCAGATTAAAGTCATATTAACGAAAACCATTTGCCAGAATTATAAAATTTAAAAACAAGTTAAAAGCATAACAATTTTAAAAGTTTTTCTGACAGTCAAGCGTTTGATCGAACAAATTATTAA